ATAATTAGCCAGATTTGCACCCAACTGTCTCCCCCTGTTTGTCTTTAGTCAGTAAAACTCGACAGTCCTTAACCACTGGTCTTGTTTAAAAGAGACAAGTGTTCCCAAACAGCCATAATGTTTAACGACCCCGACCTGACCACATGCTGAGGTCAGGGGTCATAAGTCACTCTGGAGAGGAACAGGAAGTGAAAGTGTGTCTGCAGTGACGTCATCCCAGACTCAAGAGCATTCCTCTGGCAGCTCCTCTCAGCCAAATTTAAAATGACATGCAAGAGCTGGATTCATACTGGATTCATACTGGGTCAATCCCTGGGTCAGTCCCTGGGTCAGTCCCTGGTTCAGTCCCTGGTTCAGTCCCTGGTTCAGTCCCTGGTTCAGTCCCTGGTTCAGTCCCTGGTTCAGTCCCTTTTTGTCAGCATAAATATACAAAAGTGAAGTAAAGTGGTGCCATAATTCAGCCCCAAAGGTGTGATTGATATCAGTTGAAAGGACTTTAAACCATAAAGATTAATATGATAAGTTTGTGGAGCAAATGCCAAACAAGGTAATAAAAATGTTCTACATTTGTGGATCAGAAGTTTGGAGATTTCTTTCAAAAAACAGAGTTAGATAGACTCCTGCCCAGGATCTGTAATTATGACATCATCAAATTTCTACATTAAAAAGGGGGTATTACGCTAAATTAACTTCTATCATGTTGTAACATTGTTCCCTCATCAAAAACATACCTGAAGAGGTTTGTCATCCATTCATGTTTGAGTAATTTAGCAATCTCTCCCGGGCCCTATTCAAACCATCCTTATGGTTAGCTGTAAAATTCTGTACAAGCTCTGCCCACAAGCCTACATCACCCGCAATTCTCCATAAATATACAAAAACATGATACAAAACCGTCCACAACAACTTGACAAATCTGATGCGATGTGCAGTAGTTTCATTAGCGGGCTGCATGCTGATTGTGTTGTGATATTGTTCTGAAGGGGGAGTGACTTAGCGTGGATGCAAAGGGAGGGAAGACTCACTCACTACATTGTTTTCAGTGAATACAGCATTTTCAAAACAATAAAAGGGAACAAGGTGATCTAAATATGTTATGTGTTAGCCGTTAATACGCTATATAATATTAGAACCTACACCTGGTTTTGAAGACTATTTTTGGTTTGTTTTTTATCCAAACACGAGTCTTCTTATGTGTGGTAGTGAAAATATGCTTGGACTGAAATGACATGTGGCGTATGAGAGAGACTTTCTGAATAATCCTCCAGCGAACATCAAAACACAGTCAGGGATTTCGCAAGATTAAAATGGAAAACTGAAATTCGGGCGAGCTGTGAAAATAGCTCAGAGGAGAGGGAAATGGGGAGAATAGGAACAGGTAATTTACTGTTTGAAAAGTGTGATTTTCTGCAAGGACCAAGGAAAAACTAAACCAGGACTAAAGCAGGACTAAAGCAGGTCTCAACCAGGACTAAAGCAGGACTAAAGCAGGTCTAGACCAGGACTAAAGCAGGTCTAGACCAGGATTAAAGCAGGTCTAAAGCAGGACTTAAGAAAGGTCTTGACCAGGACTAAAGCAGGTCTTGACCAGGACTAAAGCAGGTCTTGACCAGGACTAAAGCAGGACTAAAGCAGGTCTAAAGCAGGTCTAGACCAGGACTAAAGCAGGTCTAAAGCAGGTCTAGACCAGGACTAAAGCAGTACTAAAGCAGGGCTTAAGAAAGGTCTAGACCAGCACTAAAGCAGGTTCAAACCAGGACTAAAGCAGGACTACAGCAGGATTAAAGCAGGACTAAAGCAGCACTAAAGCAGGACTAAATGAAGACTAACCCAAGACTAGACCAAGACAAAACCACTACAAAACCAAGATAAAACCAGGACTATACCATGACTGAACCAGGACTAAACCACAACTAAACCAGGTTTGTACCAGGGTTAAACAAGGTCTAAACCAGGTCTATACCAGGACTAAACTAGAACTAAACCAGGACTAAACCAGGACTAAACTAGAACTAAATCAGGAGTAAAACAGGACTAAACCAGGACTAAACTAGAACTAAACCAAGACTAAACCAAGACTAAACCAGGACTAAAACAGGACTAAAACAGTACTTAAACAGTACTAAAACAGTACTAAAACAGGACTAAAACCAGGATTAAAACTAGGACTAAACGTGGCACTAAACCAGGACTATATCAGAACTAAACTAGAGAAAAAACAGGACTGAACAAAAAGTATATTGGTACAATACAAGGTCTAAAGCAGAACCAGGACTAAACAAGGTCTATATCAGAAATAAACAAGGTCTATATCAGAAATAAACAAGGTCTATATCAGAAATAAACAAGGTCTATATCAGAAATAAACAAGGTCTATATCAGAAATAAACAAGGTCTAAATCAGGACTAAACCAGGACTAAAACAGGACTAAAACCAGGATTAAACCCAGGATTAAAACCAGGACCAAACCAGGATTAAACCTGGCACTAAACCAGGACTAAACCAAAGTTTAAAAAAAATGTATCAAGGAGGAGGCTACAAGACAACACGTTTTACATGGACTTTAAATCTAAAAAGCAAAAATACTAAAAGATTAAAGCGAAAATCAGATATTTTAAAGAGGCCATATTGAGGTCTTTCATCAGGAGACAGTTTATCTTTTTATAGAGTGTTAAAACGAGAGGAGCAGATGGATCAGCGGACTGAGAGTAAAAGCATTACGCAACAAGTTGCTTTAAAAATTCAACATGTTTAATTATTCATTCACTGAAGTCCGAGAAAAGAGTTAGAGGCAGAAGTGAAACTATGAGATTTGAGGATAAAAATAAAGACGGAATCTAGGTGACAGGAGCAGATACAGGCTAGACTAGGGCTAATCCTGGATTGATGATTCTCTAATTTTTACTTAATTTGGTGGAATTAGAATTATTCTTGTAAATATAAATGATAGTTTTTCACTAATCAGGAGGGAATTTGTGAAGAAAAGCTGAAAAAACAGGAAATGGAGAGTTCTAAACACACTGATGACATGACTTTCGGGAGAAATCTTTCCGAAAGTTCGCCACAATTTACAATTTTTATACAATTTTTTTCTCATACTTAAAAATTATTCCAATAAAATAAAGGTGTTTTCTTATACATTAGAGGATTTTTCTTTTCCTAGGTAGCAGACAGACAGGAGCAGAGCCAGAGGAGCAGACAGGAGCAGACAGGAGCAGACAGGAGCAAGGAACAAGGACTAAAACAGAACTGAAGCAGAACCTAACCAGGTCTAATCAATGACTATACCAGAACTAAGAAAGGTCTAAACCAGGACTAATACTGAACTTAAAATATAAAACAAGGAGCAGACAGGAGCAGTGCCAGGGGAGCAGACAGGAGCAGACAGGAGCAGACAGTTCCTAGCATTTACAGCAGTTCATTCTTCAGTCTAAGAGAAAGTTTAGAGCCAAATTTAACCCGATTCCCTCAAGGCAACTTTCAACATCAGAAAATGTCAACTCTCCAGCCCCAAAGAAAATAACAGCCATTTTTGGAATTTTTAAATCTCCGCAAAGAATTCACAGGCCCATACTGAACTGGAACAATATTCTCACATTTAAAACGAGCCACATTCACCGGCCATATTATTAGGTACAATGTGTCCTGGTTGTGTTTCTGGTTTAATCAAACTTGAGCACTGATTTTGTAATAGTTTAGATCTGATCAGACATTTTTCTAGTCCTGGTTTAGTCCTGGTTTAGTCCTGGTCCGGATCTTAATCCCTCAGCAAATAATAATAAGCCCATTTAGTTCGCTGTAACATTAAAATGCCAGGACTAAACTAGGACTAAACCAGGACTAAACCATTCTAAATCAGTAGAACTAAACAAAATACAAGACCTGGTTTAGTTCTTGCTTAAAGTTAAACCAGGTCTAAACTAGGTCTAAAGTTAAACCAGGATTGAAATATAAAAAAATAAGACAGGCAAATACAAAATTCAGATCAGATAATCATCATCACGATTTCAGAGCGCGCCTCATTTGCTTCAGAGATTAATGAAGACACCGGGCGGTAAATCTGCTAATCTAAAATTCTGATCTTAAAAATGTTTCTGAACTGAATCCAACTGAAGTCAGAGAAACGCCAAACACAAAAACAGAGAATCAGAGCAGAGACGTGTATCGACTTAACCTGGTTTGGCAACGAAACCCAAGAAATCACAAGAACAGCTGGAGGACTCTTTGAGCAACAAGCACAGAATCAAAACAAAAACTGGGCAAAATAAACTTACTTACTTTTGACAACTGAAAATGTGACTTCTCAAAAACACAGAGAAAAAAAAATGTAACAGCAAAACCAAAATGTGAACAACGCCAGGCACAGTTTATCCAGTGTGAGTGATTCTTAAACCAAAAACATGCAAAATGGCAGCTGCATCAGATCACTCTATCTCTGCACTTTTGTTTTTGATAAACAACTGGCACTCAACTTTTCTTTAAAAATACACAATTTCTTTTGCTTTTACTGGATTTAAACTAATTCATTGGCATCACTTAAAGCCACAGTATGTAACATTTTAGCCAAACGCTGACTAAAACTAAATAATGTGATCTGTGAGCTTGTTTCCATGGAAATGTTGTTCCTATAATATTCCACAGTATCCAAGTCCCTGGAGAGTGTTGTATGGTTTTAATCGGTTATGTGATGTGCCACCTACAGAAAGTTACAAACTAGAACTTTAATTGTCCAGTTTCAACAATTAATCATAATCAAAATTGTAATTAGAATCATCCCATTTATCGCAAAGGCTGGAATCATTTAAGTATTATACAGAAAAAAAACACCAAGCCTCAAACAAAAGTTCAAACAAACAAAATGTTCTGAATTTTCAACAACAACAAGAAACCAAAATATTGCCAATACAGTTCAAACCCAAACCAAACAGCAAAGCAAAATGTGTCATTTCAAATCTTATAGCAGCAGACTTCTGTTTCTCATAAATGAATCATCACGTACCAGTTTTCTCGATGTAGTCCACACACTTCTCGATGAACAGGGGGATGGGCCGGTCCTGAGTCACCAGGTTTTCCAGAGGGACCCCAAAATAGTTACTGTCCCAGGTCCTGCGGGTGGGCGGGTACAGGGGCTTGGCCGGCTTAGATGATTTGGGCTAAAAATAGGAGACAAAAGTGACATTAAAGTAACCGTATGTAAGATTTCTATTTTAAATTCCCTAGATATGACCTATCTGCGTCTCCAGCTACAAGATAAACATGTTCAAATCAAAAACAGATTTCACTGATAAGACTAAATCAGCAACACTGGACAAACTGTTTATGTTACAATTTGGAGTTTAGGTTCAAGATGAATCTCCAATCAGAAAGCAGAATGACCCTCACGAGTCAGTTGCCAGTTTCAGTGCTGAAATCCAGTTGGTTTAAACTTGTCTTTGATCTGTAAGGTCTCTACCTATACCCCAGCACCTGCAGCCAGTCACGACTCGGTGCTAGTGCAACCTCTGCAGCTCAGGGAGGGAATTCTGGAGGTTCTGAGCCTTCACATAAGGTCCATACACTGAGAATGAGACAAACTTGCATGTCTCCTCTCTGCAGGTTAAGGCTCTGGCAGCACCAGTGAGTGTGAGTAAGAATGCAGGATACATATAGTTCCTTTAAATCGCAAGGTAAAGACATTTGACAATTTTATACAACAAGTGCATTTTAATATTAACAAGGCGTCTTCCCTTTTATTGAACTATTTGACTGAACTCCTTGTTAAATTCTTGTGTAACGCTCTGTCAGATCAGATAAACACTGTCTCCTCCAGAAACTTCATTTAAACGACTCGGCTTTGATTTCCCAGAGTCCTTTTGCTCTTCAGAGCGTTGTCACGGCGACAGGGCAGTAATTGGACAGGGCATAAAGATGGCGGCGTACACGATGAGTCTGTCTGCTGTGATTATCTGTGACATCATCTCAAAGCGCCGCAGGAGATACAGTGAAAGAGTGTTTAAAGCTGCACTGTGTTTAATATTTAATGATCAGTCGTAACTTTATAGCTATTTGACTTTAGTACCAGTATAGATTTGACACTTAGGTAGTAGATTAGTTGCTTAAGTTCCTGGTTAAATCCAAGTTGAGTCCTAGTTGAGTCCTAGTTGAGTCCTAGTTGAGTCCTACTTGAGTCCTACTTGAGTCCTACTTGAGTCCTACTTGAGTCCTACTTGAGTCCTACTTGAGTCCTAGTTGAGTCCTAGTTGAGTCCTAGCCCTGGTTCTATATGGAAGATAATTAGTTTAATCAGATTTTGAATTTAAAATGCTAGTGAATTTCTTACTTTGAATGTCACCCTTTAAATCTTCAACAAATATATTTTCAATTCTTCAATTTCAATAGGCTAATGTCAGAGTGCAAATTTCACAGAGGCATAAGTAAATATAGTTCTAGCCCTGGTTTTAGCCCTGGTTTTAGCCCTGGTTTTAGTCCAATACAATAGCATATGACCGGCACTGAGCATAGCGTGAATGAATAAGGCATGAAATTCAATCCCATACAAAGACTAATGCATTATTATAATTAACAAGCAGCTGACTTATTTTGACGTGTTGCTTACAATACATCTGTACTGGGTAAAGACAATTTTTGATCCAATACATGGGAGGAAAAAAATAAATCAAGGCCCTTTAAAATATTAACCCTGCTCTCACCTTTTTGGGCTCCTTGGGCGTCTTGGCTGTCTTTTTCTTCTTCATCTTCTTGTCATCTTGCTCAGGGTCAGAGGTTATGGCCGGATTATCGATTCCCTGTTTCCACGGATCGGCTGGAGAAAGCAGCGGATCCTCTTCACCTCCTCTGTGCGCTCTTCCTTTCTTCTTTTTCTGCGTGGCTGGTCCGCTCTCCTCCCCATCGCTGTCCGACTGAAACCTCCTCTGGTACGCTTTTGTTTTACTAAACAAAATTTTGGACCTGTGCTTGTATTTTGAAGGTCTACGTCCGGTTGAATTCGCTTTCCGTTCGTAACCGTTCTCCTCTTCCAATCCGCTGTGATGCAGTCCTCCAAAAGTGTTTCGAATTTTAATCAAACGACTGTGTGAGTCCTCTGGAACTGCGTAAATATCATCGTTGATATACCCTCGGGATCTTAGTGTATCGACTGGATCTGCGTAGTTTTCCGAAGTTTCGACGTCATCAGCGTGTACCAGCGGAGGTCTAGGCATTCTCCGGTTGCTCCTCATTCCCGCTTCAATCGTTTTGAGTAAATTTGGATCAAGTTTTCGAACATTTGGTTTTGTCAGAACTGGTTTAGGGCGTACGGGAGGAGGCACTTTATGGTTGCGTTCATGTTCTCCGACTGGAGTGCTATGGACAGGATATTCATTACCTTCTAAGTCGATCCGATATTTCGCTCTTTCACTTGGCGTTGGTAAAAGTTGAACGTCGTCTCCGATTGGGCTGTAAGGAGGCGGAGCTTCGTTGTCATCATCCGAGTCGGGATAGTACGTGTTGTAAGCGGGAGAGTGGCTATGTGGCGATGTTGGAAAAGTGTCTTCGCTAGCTCCCGTTGTGCATTCTCTGGACGAATTATCAAACAAGAACGAACTTTCAATGCTTTGCTTTTTCTCATAGACTTCATTGAAAAATGGTGTGAAGACTTCGGTTTGTCTGTGGTACTGCGACAAAGAGTACAACGCTGTGAATTTGGCTGCGATCTCCGTGGCAATGTGCTCACCTTCTGTCATTAGTTCTTTAATTGCATCATTTTCAAAAAAGTCTGCTTGGCTGTCAGTTATAGCAACCATTTGAACAGGAATTACATCTTGGACCTCAGCTAAAAAAGCTCGCAAAGTTGCCATGGAAGCTTTCCGTTTCGCCGAATACACCAAAATGTATCCGTGGACAAGTTCGTCTTTCCGTACGCCGATCGCAGAGTGGTATGACAAAACTGTAACTTGAATCCTTCTCCTAGTTTCACCAAGAATTTTATCAAGAATGAGAGAGTTGCTTTGACCGATTGGACCGGCGCTACAGCAATGTGAATCCAAAAACGGGGACAAAATTAGGTCAACGCTAAACGGATCCCAGCACATTGCGCACATTACGATTCGCAGATCAGTTTCGGACATGTCTTTTATTGAAGGAAGAGGAGCCAGGAAGTCAAAGTTGTGTTTCATATTGTCTAGAACCGCTCTCAGTCCTTGTTTGATTTGGAATTCTGTAAATTTTCTCGGAAATGCCCCAGAGGGAATATCAACAAAGGTGCATTGGAGTTTGTTAGCTAGCTGCTGGCCTTGGTGACGCAAAATAGGGATGTTCTTGCATATGTTGTCTCTCTGATTGGCGAGAATAAGAATGAACGGTAACGGTTGAGCAAAACGATCTCTTCGACTCCCGGCAATTTCTGCTCTGATTCTTCCGATACAATCCCCGATGGAATTTAAGCTTTCAATTGAGTTAAAAACGCAAAAACATCCGTGAGGTTTGAAGGTAGAGACCCAGGTGTGACTAAAAAGCAAAGTTGAATTAACATCAACAGGAAGTAGCTCTAGTTCGTAAATTTTGCCATCCAAAGTGTATTCGTCATCTGTGGATTGCGCACGGATTTCATTTGCCAATTCCTGCGCAAGTCCTTCCTTTCCCAATAAACACAAGTTGAGTTTATCCACATTGGGGTTGTTGTAGTACAAATTTGAGCGACCATGATCTAGCTGAACCAATCTGTTAGCTAAAACCTGCTCTACTTTGAGATCAACACAATTTTGACCGCTTAGGCACGTCTCTTTAGTCGGATGATAGACGAATCCGATATGTTTTAGTAAAAGCGATTCTCTATCTGGGGCTAGCTTTTGCAGCGCCCTGTATCTGGGCTCCTCATTCAAAACGCTATGAATTTCCGTCATTTTATCGCAACTGGGAGTAGCGTTAAGATCTAAATCGTAAAACAGTTCGGCGTGTTCAAAAAGCATTTCTTGAAATTCCTCTTTGGCTCGTTCGACTATTTCTTGCTGATGTCTTGCATACACGTCTCGTCTATCCATTTCAGTTATGTATTTGTAAGCTTCGTCTTCCATTACAAAGCACATAACTTCCTCCCACGGTTGGCCAGGACTGATAAAATGGACTCTTTCTAGCGTTTTCTTGAATCGTTCTTTCATTTCGCCTCTTCGTTTTTCTGATAACAAATGCTGGACGTGATTGTGGTATATTCTTTCGGCTTCGGGAGTTTCTAGTAGATCGAATGGTATTCTTCGATCACTGTTGTCAATATGATCTGATTCATCCCAAGGAGTGTGATCCAAGATTAAAAACCAAAACTGAAAATCGTGCCTGTTTCGGATCACACTTTGCGCTTCGTGCCATGTCAAATGCTCAACTTCATCCAAATTATTCAACATGTTATTTAACGTTTTGGGAAGTGTTGTCAAGTATTCCTCCCTTCTTTTCCGAATGTGCTCCTGTTTAAGTTGTGCAATGTGCTTCGTGAACGTATTCCGTGCTTTTCGTGTCCCTTCCAACGTTATAAATTCCTCGTAATCCGGTTGTCCTCTGAGATTATTCGTCACTGCTTTCCACGTCGTATGATAATCCCGTACAGTTTGGACCATCAGTTTTTCAAATCGATCTGTTACCAAGGCGACCAGTTGGCGTTGGACTTTGTACGCTTCCAGATACGGAACAGTTTTCGGTTTTCCTCGCGTTTTGTCCAACTGTTGTAGCAGCGAATTGAAACTCAACTCAACATTTACATTTGTTTTTGACGACGTTTCAATTAGAAGTAGGTTTTCTTGCTTGCTACGAATACCTGCAAATCCCTCAAATGCTGTTCTACGCATTCGTCGCATTTCGTTGCAGCGACCACGATTGGCTTCTTGGCTTTGGCGATTTGCGAGTAGAGACTGTTCACGAATTTCATCTGATCGTCAAACTTGCGGTTGCAACCTTTGCTAACATCTATGCACAAAATGAATCCGTCAATGTTGAGTTTTCCATCTGGCATTTGCTTTTGGTCAAAGTCCTGCTCCAGACCTAGCTGATCCGTGCAAATATACATAAGTTTTTCCGCGGATTGTAACTTGGTAGCCGCCGCCCTTTTCGTATACGGCTGTAAGTTTGTGCTCCTATGCGGTAGGAACGTTTGATCATCAATAAATTCCGTTTGCTCGATGATTTGAATCCTACAGTCCAATCCATCGTCTCCTCTATGGCAAACATCGCCCCAGTACAGGAAGTGATCATTGTTAACCACTCTGCCGCCAAAGTCTATCGTACTGAGGACAGAGGTGTGTTCAGAGTAGTAGTTATCCGCGTCTGGACGAACATATCGGTTACACAAACACGATTTTCCGACTCCGCAGTTTCCCTTCTCCTTCTCCGTCCCCGATAATCCGACCACACTGACTGCAAACGTCGGTGGTCGGGCATCCTTGTTTTTGGCCATTATATCTCCGCACTCATCGCACCAGGAGCTGTGTGGGTAGCGGCGTTAGCGGATCATGCTAAAGTTGTTTTGGTGTTGAACTCTTGTTGGAGATGCTGCTTCTATCCAGAGACGGTGGAGCTGGGATAGAGCAGCTCTCAGGTCCTCTCTGTATCACCTCCCTGAAACACACAACAAAAACTGGGTTAGAAATATATACTGCAAGCAAAAAAATATCCATTATTTAAGGAATGTCTGATTCAGAGTATTCACAGCACATCTCCTTATTTAGAGAATCCTGGCAATGTAAAAGTGCACTGTGTGACTTTTCTGATACATGGTATGCCACCTGCTTGTGTCCATGGGGATGACATAGCTTTGCTTATAATGTCCCACAACATGCCTTTAAACATATTCATCACAATGGAGATTTGCAAGTGTCATCCCCTGACCCAGTTAAAAGTCAGATTGGTGGACAGGTGAGGCTGTTCACAGTAAAAGTGTTTTCAAGTGATATTTTGTAATAAAAACACTGACTAATAATAGCTGAATAAATACTAAATCAGTACACTTAATAGCCTGATTCATCAGACCGGTTTTACTTCATTTCACTTCATACAAACCGTCTGACCTCGCAGCCATTCGCTCAACGGTAGGCGGGTACTTTTTTTATTTAACCAATCGCTGCTGTTTGGTCATGACGTATGTAATGCACCACTAACGGGACTAACTGGTATATTAAGATTTTCCCAAATCCCATAGGAAGAAGGACAATAAAGTCTTTCCCCTTGATGAAATTCACCAAACATTCTCTTTGTTCCGGCTTTAAATCCTCGATCTCAGGAATCGTTGACAACACTGAATATCTGACTCTTCGCTGATTGGCTGGTGCCTGAACTTGCACTTCCAGGGTTTTTGTGAACCATCTATTGTATTTTGATTTCTGACCTAGTTGCTGGAGAGAAATGAAATTGAGCGGAGGCACTAGGTGGCGCCAGCCTGGCTATACATTTGATGCCACACTGTGGCAGAGCAATCTCCATGGAGACAAGCAGGACCACCACCAGAAAAGTTACATAGTCCATAATTAAAAGCAAATAATATTTTATTTTAAACTTTTTATATAATTAAAAAAAATAGAAAATGATCAGTTGTGTATACATTTGTTAACATGTGACAGACATATTAATATTAAGAACACACCATCTTTAACATAATCTGTCATCATGTTATATTTAAACTATTTACGCAATTGAATAGAAACTTGTCTGAAATGTAGTAACCCAGCAATTACATGTTAGAATAGTAACTAAAAGCAAAACATGAGAAAAAAAACAGCATGCCTTCAAAACCACTTTGTTTCTTGTGGTCTTAAAATTATCCTTGACTTTTCCCCCTAAAAAATGATCTTGTCTAAATGTTTGCTTTCAGCTTGAGTGCTCCTGACTACAGCTCTCCCATTCACAAATACTGTACATGAGTCAACGCTTTGTTTTCACTCTGCATCTACAATAGTCTTTATTTTGTTCCATTAGAATTCATTTGTTTATACAGCAGCTACAAAAAGCCAGAATAAAAGGTCTTTGTGGAGACAACACGCGTCCTTTTAAAATATTAAACAATTGCATAATGAATCACAGCCTTGGAGGAGAGGCACATTTGAATAAAGACACAGACCGATAAAAAAACATTTGAACACTCTACACATTTGAATCTATAATGCGATGTTGTTTAGCATGTTTCTGTCAGGGCAAATATGGCGTAAGATGAAAGATTTATAAAGAATTAAAATTAGACTTGGAAAATGGATTAATAAGAGGTCAAAACCAGGTCAAAACCAGGTCAAAACGAGAATGCCGGAAATAGACACCAAAAAATAAGGGATTAACAACACACAAATGGTAATATCTGCACTAAACAAGGGCACGTCTGAGATGATAAAAAACTGAAACAGGAAAAATATTCTCGAAATATTTCAAACAAAGCACCAGCAAGGACAATTCAGGACTAAAACAGGTCTAAACTGGAAATAAACCAAGACTCAATTGGCTAAAAGCTATTCAGGAAAGTTTAATTTCTGTCCTCTGCATGTGACTTTTTTAGTATGGATATCAGCTCAAATGAGTATCTAGTTTCGACATTAGTTTTAGCATTATATACTTTTGATAACACCAGCTAGTTTGAAGCTCTGAGCTGTCTGTTACGTCATCATTTTTTAACCAGGAGACTTATGTAAGGAAAGACCTTCTCTGACTCTCTCCCTGCTCCTCTGGGCTATAAAAACCCTCTCTCAGTCTGATTTAAGATAAAACTGCACATGCCGTTAGACTCTTTGACAACCACTGACCTAGAAATGATTTGATTCAGAAAAAGAGGAGGGAGAGAGAGAGAAAGAGAGAAAAGGCGTGTTATCAATATTGTCATCTGAGCAGGCGTGAAATCCTGATTATCCATGTGTCAGTGTGGCATTTGGTTTGTGATAAAACAGAGACAGTGATGGAGCTGGTATTTTAGGCAGCTCAGATTCTGAATGGGCCAAATATTTTGTTATTCAAGAAGGAAAAATAGTTTACATGCCCGCATAATTTAAGTCAATATGTGTGTATTGACAATCAGATACTAATCAATACTAAAACTATTATCAGGCATTTCTACTAAAAAGTCACATTCACAGGACAAAAATTAACCTTTCCTGAATAATTTTAGAATGATCTTGAGCTGTATCAGAACAAGTATAAGTATACCCCAGATAGAAGACATATAACATAGTAATATAAAAAAAAAAAAGTACTACCATTTAATGTATAAAGAAAATGTTTTTTATTATCATCATCGGACTATAAGAATCAGCATTGAACATTGAGTATATAGGGATATAACAAAGGATGGGAGGGCATCTGATACACAGAGATACAGGAGGATGGGAGGGCATCTGGCACAAAGGGATATGATGTAAAAGTAGTAAACACACCCTGATAAACAGCAGCAGGTTGGTTGAGTTTGAGCCACTCCTAAATCACAAGTTCAGACAAATCTAAAATACAAAACAATAAAGTCATCATGAACTTCAGGGAAAACAAGACTCAACCAGGAAGGACTAAACCAGGACTGAAACAGGAAGGACTAAACCAGGACTGAAACAGGAAGGACTAAACCAGGACTGAAACAGGAAGGACTAAACCAGGACTAAACCAGGACTGAAACAGGAAGGACTAAACCAGGACTCAACCAGGATTGACACAGGAAGGACTCAGGAAGGACTCAGGAAGGACTCAGGAAGGACTCAGGAAGGACTCAGGAAGGACTCAGGAAGGACTCAGGAAGGACTAAACCAGGACTGAAACAGGAAGAACTAAACCAGGATTAAACCAGGACTAAACCAGGACTAAACCAGGACTGAAACAGGAGGGACTAAACCAGGACTAAACCAAGACTGAACCAGGACTGAACCAGGACTGAAACAGGACTGGACCAGGACTGACCCAGGATTGACACAGGAGGGACTAAACCAGGACTGAACCGGAACTGAAACAGGAAGGATTAAACCAGGACTAAACCTGGACTGAACCAGAACTGAAACAGGAAGGACTAAACCAGGACTGAACCAGAACTGAGCCAGGACTAAACCAGAGCCAAACCAGATAAATTAGGCAGAGCTAAACCATGTGTAGTTAGTTAGTATGGTAATAACTAACTTGTAGTTCCACCAGAATAGTGCTGGAATCGTGGTTCATCCCATAATCACCATAAACATCTGCTTTGGGTTTCTGATCAGATTGAACTTTAACAGCCTCCAGACCAAAGGAAACTGCTCTTCCGCTGTTTGAAATGGAAAATTATTAAATACAAAATGAAGCTATCACAAATATGTCGCTTAGATAAACTAAAAATGTGACCAAAACATCAATCATGTTATGAATCAATATATCTTAGTAATTACTTGATAACCTTAACATTCCATTTAATATATCCACTCAAATACTGTGCAAAAGAAAGTCTGCGTGTCTCCATGGAGATGCTGCTTTGTCAAGAATATTTCACAGTATGGAATTCAACTTCTGCTTGTTCATGGAGACAAACAAAGGCAAGTTACAGGTCAGATCTGTGGAGAGGCCACCCCGTTAGGTAACCATAGTTTTTAAACACATGTAACTGAATAAATGTCAGATAGAAAAGTTTGTCCCAACCATCTGTCCATAGGATGTTTACTACAAAGGTGACACTGCACAAAATATGACTACACTACTCTCTTATTCAGTTTGTACTTGAACACAACAGTGGATGAGTTGGTGGTAAATTAGTTAAATTTGTTTAATTAAGTTTGTCTTGTCATGATACTAAATTTGACATTTTATTTCAACACTGAAGAATAGACTCGATACTCAATACCGATTTCCGGCAATAGAATGCGATTTTCTACATTAAATTGCAGTACTTTCTTTTCTTTGACCATGTGGCCTTATTGGTATTATCTGGTAATCCCTCAGTGGTGCAGGTATGTTCCACAGTGCTCCATGACATACACTAGTCTATGTGCTCTTATACTTGTTCTGATACAGAGAAAGATCATTCTAAATCTATTCAGGAAAGGTCAATGGGACTTTTTAGTATTGATACCTGCTCAAATGAGTATGTAATTTTGATATTAGTTTCATTATTGATTAGTATCTTTGATATTTTTAACAATGGCTTCAAGGGGTGTGCAAAAATATAAAAATATCGCTATATCGTATTGTTTAATGTGATGATACAGTATAAAGCTTCACAGTATGGCACTTAAACATTTCTAGCTTCATTTTGTGCTATAAAACCACCTGCAATTGAATAAATGTAAGGTAAAGCTGTTTAATGTCATACTGTGGAACATTTCAGGCAGAGCAATGACATATCCATAGAAAAAAGTAGGTTGACAGACCCCAATTAAAATGTTACATACTGTAGTTTCTAAATCAATAAATCAATAAAAAAGATTAGAATGTTGAGTTGTTTTGTTTTACATTACTGTCCCACTGTCCCTCTGTTTTCAGCTCCTTCAGTTCATCTTCTTTTTATGGTTGAGTCATTCACGGATTCCTCCCTCAGGTCTGAACCGTTAGCCGTCTCTCCACACTCTGTCTACACGTTTTACTTTCACATTTATTCTGGTTTCCTCATGTGACAAACTGCAGCAGAGATAAAACCAGATCTAACAGCTGATCTGAGCAAAACCACAGGAAAGTGAACAGGAGGGAGAGGCGCCCTGCAGCAAGAATATCTGTGGTTCCATACCCAAAATGAGCTCATGATCAAACTACAGTGAAATCATTCGTTCACTTTTATTCCCATTGTCACACATCAGTATCCCTCTGTCTGTGAGCAGCTTTATCAAATTTTAGAACGAGTTCTTAATAGTTAAGCTCAAACAGTCCGGCCAGTTTAAAGTGAAGTTACAAGCAAAGTTACACAATGCACATTTCACTATCTGATTTTCAATCTTTTTTAATAATAATAATCATTATCATAATAATCCATAATTTTATATAGAGCTTTTCTGGACACTCAAAGACGCTTTACAGATTATTCATTCACTCCACACCTGGAGGTGATAAGCGACTACTGTGTCCAGAGCTGCCCTGGGGCAGACTGACGAAGCAAGGCTGACAATCTGCACCATCGGCCCCTCCGAAAACCCAATGAAGGACTAATTTCTATAATAAAGTTGCTATAAATAAATATTACAGTTTACCATAAAAAATGTGAAAATGACCATTTGAATAGATACTTTGCAGCTGATGTCATCAACATTCCCTGAGGGTGAGAATCTAACTGGAAGCACTGCTCTGTCTGAAGCTCTGTTACTCAAATTAGACTTTAATCTGTTTCGACACAATCTAACCAGAAACAGCTGATGTAGTTGGAACTACAACAAGTCAGATGATTTTGCTGTTAAACAAGTTTCTGGCACATAAACATATAGCCACAAGCTAGCTAGCATTAGCCAAACGTTTTTCAGTTCTTCACTCTCACCTTTATGTTGAAAATCAAACTCTTAAACAGAACCATGAACGCTCAGCCTGATCAGACTCCTGAAAATCTTTTTTTTTTTTTTTTCCTTCTTGTTTCAAACTTTGATCTTAAAATCTTTTGACACTGTTAGCTAATGTGTGTACTATGTCACCATGGTAACATATAAACATTCTGACATAGGCATACAGGTAGAACACCCCCAGCATGATGTTACTCCAAAGTGTCATTTCTAAATATTAAATATTTGTGGTTCTGTTGAAACCTCTGGTCTGTGAATATGCTGAATTAAAAAGTCACTAAAGTGAAGCTAAAGCTCATGTGGTTTACACTGAGTCATTAAAGCTACAGTCTGTAACTTTCTGGAGGTGGCACATTAACATCCTATTTCCACAGAAGTTGATTCATACAGTTTAATGTGATACTGTGGAATATTATAACCAGAGGAACAACATTTCCATGGAAACAAGCAGGAAGAGGCCCTGCTCCAGGACAAATAAGAGTCAGGTTTGTGGACATGCAAGCCTGCTCAGAGTAAGGAAACATGTTTTTCAGTGCAAAAAACACAAAAATATGCTTTTACTTCAGTCTATTTTCTGCACAAATACGTTCGGTCATATTAGTATCCAAATCACTCTTTCATTGTTTTCAATCACGACAACATTTGCCATGGTTTTGTTATTCACTTCCTCAGTTTTGTGTCACTCAACTGAAAAAGAGGAAAAGAAACTCAAAACGATAATAAAGAAGTTTCATTTCAAAAACAATGACTCCAGTGTTTCGGTAGAATCCTGGCAAGAATAGACAGAGCTATACAAAAATCTGAAACCAAAAGAACTCATTTAAAGAAGACCTATTGTGCTTGTGTCTCTTCTATATAGCTATAATCTATTTTCAATTTGGACATTTTCTAACGAGTTAATAACTGACTTTTGATTTAGAAAACCATGGTGTCCAATGGGAGCGGATGTCACTGTAAACTAGGGATGGGCATTCGATGAAATTTTTTTAATCGATCGTCGGAAGAATTAACAATCGATTATCGATTAATCATTAACGTTTTTATATTAAAATGATCATCATTATTATTACTATCTGCACTACTAATCTGCATAAATAAATTCAACTTTACGACATATAAACCGTAACGACTCTAGAGCCACATCAATCCGTTTGACATTATAATGTGTTTAATTCAGTTTTGCCCAACTCTCACAGAAACCAAACTTAAAACCGCATCGCTAATTTGCATAAACTCAGCGAAGATAAAACTACAGCTCTTGTGTCGCTGATGCGGTCAATTTCTGTCAGATTACAAGACATGATTCAGTAGAATACAGGTTAGTGTGACCATATTTGCGTTTGTCAAAACCAGGACACCGTGCGGGAGGTGGGGACTCGTCATCGACATTGCGCGACTCTCACCTGGTAAAGCTTTTTCCCACTGGACACCGAAACATATGTGCTGCTTTGTACACTGTGCACAAGGACTCCCCGAACGCAACGGAAAGCGTGGAATTTCTTGTACAAATCATCGTTAAATACACATTTGTGCTTCGGTACGTTGCAGACTGACCTACTGTTTGTGTCTCGCTCCTTCTGAGTGCAAAGAGACACATGTACGGACCCCTGTTTGGTCACGCTACACACAGCAACCTACATTCGGTTTGTCGATTAAAATTAACGTAATCGATGAAATTCTTAATGATCAATTATCGATTAATCGATTAATCATGCCCATCCCTACTGTAAACGTCATCACAACAAAGCGCCGCATGCTGTGAGCCTCTTCTGTGGATAGCTGCACATCACACTAGCGAGTAGCTCATTTATTTTCATTCGTGCAAAGTTGACTACACTACGGTGACAAATCCTTCGTGGATCACAGATTACGAAAGTTACATCACAATGGGCGTGTACTGGTGGATGTGAAAACGGGATGCCTGGAGAGTAAATAGGAGAATAAAAATTACTTAAACATGCACGAATTGTTCCAAATACAACTCCAGAGGGCAAATAAAAAGAGAAACAACTATAACATGGTTAAAAGCTCTGAAAGGTTGATAGTGCATAATATATCCACTTTAACACACAGATTAAACAGCACAGAAGCCTGATTACGGCGTTTCACTGTAAATAAACAGGTCTATTTGACAGGACTGTACACTTGGATTACAGTGTCTGCTTGTGTCCATGGAGGAATATTTACACAGAGTTTTATAGACACACAGCAGCTGAGTTCACAAGGTAGCACCATTTCTTTTATCATAAAACCTTTTGAGTAAATTATTAATTGCATTTCCTTCATCTTATTTTTAAATTGCACCTCTGTTTCCCCCATCAAGCCAAAAACATGCACAACAGGTCAAATCCTCCAGCTAAGGCAGCCTTTTGAAATTTTGGTGTCTGGATTACCATGGCCAAAATATGTGTGATTAACAATTGTATCATGATAATTATTAAAGTTGCTAAAGTGGATATGAATAATTATAATTTTAATATTATAAATAGGTTGCATATTTAAACTCTTATTTTGTACTTTATTCCAAGTGAAAACAACAGTGAACTAGAAGGAAAACATCATGGTTAAGTGTCTTTTTCTCTGCACATTCTGTTGATATAATGACGATTATCACGATTACACAAAATGTCCCACAGGCTATTATTGTCTACCCTTTTATCACGATAAATGATGTTTATTGTAGCATCCCTAGTCCAGACTAAGACCAGCTCAAGATCTGGAGATGGGTCCCACTGCTCCTGACAGTTTTAACCCAGAGACACGGAGGGATGGGTCAAATGCAGAGGACAAACTAAACGGGAGGATTAGACACCAAATTGATTAAATAACTTGTAATATAATAATATTAATATAATCAGGTTAACAACTGACAACTAGAAATAAACTAGACATTGCATAACACTGCATTTAGCTCAAAATGGCTGGAGGTCCAACACTTATGTAAACACAGAGTCGCTCATCATTCACGTTAAGAGCAGGGGAGCCCTCAGAGACTGCAGCAGTGACCAACCCAATGACCTCCACATGACAAAGGACTGTGGGCCTGAAGGGTATTAGAAACATGTGAAATATTTCATGCTTGAGTCTACAGTGCAATTACTGATTAAACCATGAAAATTACACCTAAATAAAAAGGGTAAACAATTAGAACTAAAAATATGGATTTGATGGATTTGGATTAAAATAGAAAACGGCCCTATGGAGACACAGGATGGACCTCTGACACACAGGGAGGGCATTTGACATATAGGGCCATTTCAGAACATATTTGTAGAGGGCAAATTACAGGGTTAGTGGCTTTTACACAGAATAAGACCCCATGGAGACACAGACACATTAAGTTCTCAAATAGGACAATATGTTACCTGAAAGACTGCAGCCTAGATTGGTTTATTAAGACGTTACGACCATTTAAACTGCCATTTAAGGTTAATTCAGACCTATAAAGCAGAATTGTAACCAAGTAGGGTTGTCAAAAGTATCAAATAACAGACACTGATCAATTCTGTAACTAGTATCAAAACTAGATCTTCATTTGAGCAGGTATTGCTACTAAAAAAGTCACATTCACAGGACAGAAATGAAGCTTTCATGAATAGCTTTAGAATGATATTGAGCTGTATCAGAACAAGTATAAGAGCACATAGTCTAGTATATGCCCATGATAATATAAAAGAAAGTATGATTCAATGTTGAAAATCATGTTCTGTTGTCTAAAGAAAGATTTTTATTACAACTGTGGTATCAGAATCAGTACTGAATGTCGAGTCTATTCCTTAATATCAAACCCAAGTTGAAATTTACCGGAAATAAACTGCGAGCAAAAGTGCAGCTAAAACCAGGGCTGAAACAGGAGAGATCTATGGACAGAATCAGGTCACTGGGTTAGGAACGTTCAGGGGAATTTTGAACTAAACTGAAGATTGAATCAAGGACTAGAGCTGAAACTAATTACACAGGTATGGTAGAGAACGACATTTGAACAATACGTTACTATGGGAACTACCAACAATAGAGAGAGAAAGTGTTCACAAGGCAGTATAGAGATCGTAGTTGTGCTAAATTAAGTGAC